ATTTTAGCGGATCTTTCATGCAATGAGGTTGTTTATTGATTATTTTGAGATCGTGGCAATCTATCTCATGATAACACGGGATATCTACGATGGTGGTGTTTTCTAAGACAAGATTAATCCGAGGATAGTTCTGTGCTCTCGAGTATCACGTGGCATACGGATTGCAGTGCAACGGATAGAAGGTAGCTATAATGTACAGATTTCGGTTCAGGTGATAATGTACGATCTAGTCATCATCATATTGACGAAAACGGCAGTTATCAGTCGATCTATTCTCTAAATATAGGTTGATGCATGGGTTCATGATGAATATATTTATTGGAGGTGTAATACGACATGTCGTAGTGCTACCGAAGTTGAAAATATCGTCATTAGACAGCATAATGAATTGTTTATTCATTAAGTTGAAAGCCAAATGGGTTGGTATGTTTGATATTACTAACCGATTGTCGTGACCTTGATGAAACGGATGATCCGGATAAGGTCAGGTAGGGTGGGTAGAAGGAAGGTATTACTGATCGTAAATATGTCAATCGTGTTGGTCCTTATCATTTCGCCGTGTCTATATATGGTCATTTGGTTGATTAACATTCGGTTAAACAGATCGAACAGTGAAATCATAATTTCTTCGTGCTTGAGGTTACGATATATCTGTGTGTACAATTCGCCAAATAGGTCGTCTAATCGCAACGGATTCAAATATGCGAAAGACACTCTTCCATGATTAATTTCATTAGCCGAAAAATATAACTTCTCAAGAAAGTTACTTATTATCATCATATTCAATTGTGTCACTAATCTTTCCCCTTGTGCTGAGTTAATATTAGACGCTTGTATGAGTGCCCGTAATATCTCAGTAAGGGTAGTTTGCACATGGTTTTGACGTATCATTGTCGATAAGATTTTTATATCGTTATTCAGACTATTTGTTATGCATACCGCTGTAATGTTCAATTTATCATCTGATATTGTGAGGTGGTCATTCATTGTGCCAATTTTATTTCGTAAGTCGTGTATCTTCATCGAATTCAGGAAAGTTATTAGACTGACCTAGTGTAGTAGCTATTGCGACGACCGCTGACACTAAGCCAATAAACCGTGTTTTGCGTTTTTTGTTTATTGTCCGCATTAATGAAGTGATGTGATCATGGTCATTCGGTGATAAGAACCAATATATTTTCTCTGACATTGGAATGTGAATATTAATTAGCTCCCGCCGATCCAAGTGTAAATAATTCTCGATATCTTGTATGACTATGTCTAATGGCAATAGGCATTATTGTTTAATACAAGAGTCTAACGAACTGTTCGAATGCGACGAAATGACATTAAAAATAGAAAATAGCGCAAAAATTTAAATATTTTCCATTATTACCTAAAAAAAGATCGCAAACAAACACAAATAACGATTAAGAATGTATATGACCAGAATATATATATATGAAATCTTTGTCATGCGGATAAGAGAGAAAAACTTGAAAAGTTCTTACTTTGGGGTATGAGAACTGTGTGCGGGTGAGGAGTGATACTGGAAAAAAGGGTTTTTTGTTACGGTCACGTTAATCTCAAATTATGTCTAAGTTGTTAGTATGCCGTATGCGTAGCTTTGCTCTACTTTGTATGCATTATAGAAATTCTAACTATTGATTAATAGAAGTTGTGTATATCCCTTAATAATAGTTATTTAATAATAATAAATCTTGTTATGATTATTACTTCCTACATAGCATTATGAAACTTCTAAGCGTTACCCACTCATAACTGTCGATATGGTTTGTGTATCTTCCAGTTATAAGGTGGGCACCACGAAATGTTATTATTTTGTTTTTATATTATCTGTGTATTTGTTTTGTTTCTGTGAAATATAGTTATAGAATGGGAATGGCGAGAACCACTCATGAATGGTGCTTTTTTAGTCGAGCAAAAAACAGCGTAATATTGTCTTGACAGAACGTATGAGTGGTGTCAAGTTCCACAGTTCCGTGGAAATTCCGGCAGAATTCTGCAGAACTGCAGAATTCAACTTCACATTCAGATATATACTGTAGTTAGGATTCTGTTCGGAATCTGGTTGAATTCTGGTAGAATTCCAATTCTAGTTCTACGAGTTATATTAGTTCACATTTAGATTCTCTCTACGAATTGGCAGATTCTGCTCAATTCTGCTGTAATTCTGGCAGAATCTGGCGCAATTCTACTAGCATTCAGCAGAATTCAAGCTATCAGTACTCACTCTCATGTTCCCTCCTATCCTCCCCCTGGTTCAATTCTACCAGAATTCAACCAGATTCCGAACAGAATCTTAGTTACAGTGTAGAGTTGAATGTGTGGTTGAATTCTGCAGTGCTGCAGAATTCTACAGGAATTTCCACGGAACTGTGGAAGTTGACACTGCTGGATGTTTGTTACATTATATATGAATGTACTGCTTACATTGTTTTTTGCGACTATTAGATACTGTTTAGAAAACTAAAAATATTTTTTTTATTGGGGATGATATACATATTGCGCGACTTTAAAAATGGTTCTATGTATTGTGACAGCGCGATTGTTGATACCTATGTTTAAGATGTGCAAACATATATATGAAAAAAATTTTTTCTTTCTTTTCTGAACTCTTAATTAATACTACTCAGTGCTGAACCACGGTGCTAATAGGTAGCAGTTTCCTAGTCAAATTGCTATATCTCGCTGTAAAAAAGGAAAAAGAAAAGGGAAGGTGATTTGCATATTATATGATGAAAAAATATTTATATATGTGACGTCTCTGTTATTGTGCCATATTGTTAATATACTTTAACGGGTTATGTTGGCCTAACAAACGGTTGTTTCGGTGTGATTATTGATTTATCTGGCCGCTTTTTCACTGGTAACTGTGTCAAGTTCGGGGCCATTCTAGAGGCTATACAAATGGGGTGAGATTCTAAAGTAGTATCTTTAAAAGCTTTTCCCCAAACGGCGTGTAGGTCGTGCACTAAAGTTTTTATAGCTGATGTAAAAGTGAAATGAAAGATGGACAATAAATCTGTTTTAGCACTTTGATCTTTTTTCTTAAAATTCAGGGCTTTTTGATGGAACTCTGAATACCTGTGTTTCACTGATATGTCTAGCTCCAGGCCTGCAAAAAGTCTTTGGAATTGTCTATCAATGAAATTAGTGGGGTAACCGTTTAATGATAAGGATCTGATTAAGTGACGATGCTCACTTTCAAAGTATTGATACTCCGAACATAGACGGAGAATACGGAATAGTCCTGCGTAGACTATATTCCGTTTTATGTGTTGCGGATGTGCCGAAATGAACGGTAAAAAATATGGTTGGGCTGCTGGTTTATGATAAATAGTGCATTTACATTTTCCATGTTGATTAATTAGCGTTAGATCTAAGTAATTAACACTTGGATATTTCCCAGGTTATTTTAATGTTGGGGTCTGTAGCGTTAAGAGATTGCAAATCCTGTACAATGTTTTCATACGTATCGTTAGACGTGTAGAAATCGTCATCTATGTACCGGTAATATAATTCATCTTTGTCTGTGACCGCATTCCTAAAATCGAATTCCCAAACGGAAACGTATATGTTTGCTGCGGTCAGCGTGAGTGGAGATCCCATAGCTCCATCTCTGATCTGTAAATAAAATTGACCTTCTAAGTAAAAAAATTGTTAAAAAGCACAAAACGGCAAAGTCTAATCATGGTGCCGATCGTTAGGTTGTATTTTAACGGTTTATTGTACATAATTAGCATTCTATGTATCCTGACTAAAGTTTACTTCAGGGCGATCATTGTGTAATCTGTGATATCGAATGTAACAAACCAGGTACCAACGTTGAGAATATTGATGTAATCAATGTAATCGAATTTTCGATCGTGTATTCTTTGGAAATCCGATTAAAAATCGGTCTCAGTAACAAATCTAGGAATTTTGAAATTAGAACGGCTGGGCCTGTAGTGTTCGATAAAATTGGTCTAACCGGTATGTTTGGTTTATGATCTTTGAATAGAAAATAAAGATGTGGTAGAAAAGTCGAACCATACATTGGTAATAGTTCTTTATATAAGACGCCCGGAATGTAGTTAGCATAGAACAGTTTACGTAAAAATGCCCTTGTTTTGTTCATTAAAAGATCAGCCGAATTGAAATCTAGTAGTAGGTACGCTTTGGTTTTAAGCATATGTTCGTTCTTTTTCTTTTTCATCGTGTTTAAATCTGAGATAAATAACGTTTTGCTTTTATCCGTTTTTCGTACGAGTGCTGGTTCATTTCTGATTTTTCGGTTTAACGTATAATATCTAATTGTTGTGACTCCGGGAGCGAAATCGTATAATATGATCTGCAGAGTTTCGTAGCATCATCAATGAATAATTGTACCAGATGTGATTGTGGCGATAGATGATTTGCAAAACAGATATCTTTACACTTTTTAATCATATCAGTGATTTGTCCATCCGTTGTGCTCCTATCCTATAATTAATAGGTACAAATTTGGGTCCTAAGCGAAGAACACTCACCTCTTTCTCGCCCAAATCTAAAGCCTGATTTCGGACTAATGGTAGGTACGATGCGTTGATTAGAATAGATTCGGTGGTGCGAATCGATCGAGGATTGTTGATACATCCAATAATTCGTCTTCTTCGTCCATCGATTCGCGATAATCTTTTAAAAATTGCACTTTGTTTTCTGCGAATAATTGTACTCTTCTTAGAAACGCGTCTGTGAACGTTCTGATATGTTCGAGCGTACTGGGTTAGCAATTTTCTAGTGTTGCAAAAGTTGTTTTTTGTGCTTCTGCTAAAAATTCGAGTTCAAACGCCATTTTTTCATAGATCAAAGCGTGGATTTTCAATTTAGCAGCTCCACAAATTTGTTTGAATCCATCTTCAAAACATTTTATGTCCGGTTTGTTTAAAGTGGGCATAATTGGTATCGTAACATCAAAATGTGCTAATATTGGTAATGGAGATCCGTGGGAATACGGGCATCCATTAATCTCATTTCGATAACTTTCCTAGAACAGATCTCAAGGTTATTTTTTATCATACAGAACTCACTTTGTGTTTGTACAGAAATGTCCTTGTCGATATTTCTCTCTGCTGTATCTAATATCTGGTCTGCTCTAATATAGCTACTCGTCTTTTGAGTGTAGCCTGCCACGTTTTTGTTTGCTCTGTGATGTAGGTCATACATTTTATTTTTTGTACTAATTTTATGTCAGTCCATTTTTCAAGTTGTCGTGTATGCCAGAGCCCACCTTTATCATCGCGCCATGCTTCATAGACGGCGTCAATGTGGTTGGCTTGCATTTGTATTATTTTGTGACAGTATACAAGTTGTTTGTTGATGAATTTTATGTTTAGAGCAATGTCTTTCGATTTGGTTTTTCTCTTGATCTGGCGAGCAACTATCGAGGAGTCCACATCATTAGCGAATCGTAGGTATTGTTCATGTAAATTGCGCTGGAAATTAGCCTTGACTGAACGGTCAAAAAACACGATTATTCTAGATAGATGTGCTTTTGAAATAGTCGACTGTTCAGCAAAACGTTTTTCTAGTGCGTATGGTTTTAGATATTTCGGCGTTTTTGCAAGATTCTGTTTTGTTTTTTCGAAATAAACCGGTGTTTGCTGATCGTTAGAATTAGAGAATAAATCCTCATGGTACTCAGCTACTGTCTGTGGTTGTTTTTAAATATTTTATTTTTATTATAATTTTTATTCGCTTTTTTTTGAGGGGATCCTACAACACCGGGATGTGTATACTGTTGGCCTTGAAATATTTGATCTTCATCATAATCATCTTGCATTGGCAGTGCCGACTCTTTGCTAATCACCTGATTCGGATATCTATAATCCGGATTATTAGGAATATTCCGATCAGTGTTACTGACTTTATTATGATGCGATTGATATTGGTTGCTGACTTTATTTAAATATAGTTGATACTGATTACTGTCATTGCGATAATGTTGATTCTGAAAAGAGTTTTTAACGTGTTGCTGTTATTACTTGTAACCGGATTATTAGTTTGCCGATCCTGAAATGACATAGGTATATTATTTCTGTATAAAGCAGTCGGGTTGCCTTTATTCAAAGGCACATTATTTTGTTGTTGTTGTTGTGGTTACTGCCGTATACGTATCTGATACTGCTGAGGCACGTAATCATACAAGATAGGTGCCGCGGGTGGGTTATGAATACTATTGTTATAGTAGCCTCGTCCCCGACCTCTCCGCGGCCGTTACTTCTGCCTCGACTACCTCGCGATAGGATCGGTTTTGGTTCGTGAAAGTTCTAGGTTGCTGTGGGCACCCCGAGTCAGAATTATCTTCTTTTTGAGGTCGCTGTCTCTGCCCGTAGCCTTGTTGTTGTTGCAAATATCTAGATTCATGATTACCGTCATCACATAGTTGTTCCACTCGCCCGTAACCCTGGCTAAGCACGTCTCGTGCTGCGGTAGTAGGTCTCTCGAAAATATCCTCTATATAGCAATCGCTGTTATTCTCGCTATTATTTTCGTTATCAGATTGATATTCTAATTGTGAATGAAAACTGTTTAATTTTTGCCCTGATTGTTGCGGTGGTCTTGGGTTCCAATTCTCAGTTGGATCCCCGTTCCCTTCTTCACCTTCTGCAAATAAGGTGGCTAAATCTGCAGTTTCTTCAAATCTTATCGCTGTATCTGTGGTAAGCTGAGCGTTTGCTGTAGCCATCTTTATTTTGCACTAAAAGTTTCTTTGCAAATTAATAAGATACTGAAAAAAAAATTTTGTTTAAATTTAACTTACAGGAAAACAAACGAACTAAATAGTACGGCTGTCTAAGATAGAACTTGATCGTGCGACGCGTTTCACCCCGACTCACGAGGATCTTCAGGCGTTGATCATAATCTAAAATTACATTAAAAATTCGGTGTAAAAAGAGAGCCTTAAAATAAAATCGCAATTAGATAGATAGAAAAAATGGCGATAGGATGGAAAAATGATGATATATGCTTATTGTCTCAGATACAAGTAAATGAAGATAACAGTAAAAATGAATATAAATAATGAATATAGATAAAAGGACCTTGAAAAAAAAGGCGTAATTCCTTTCTTTATTCTGAAAAAGGAAGGAAAGAATTTACTCGATAAGAATGAAGTAAGCCTGTAAAAATAAGAATGGACAATACGAGTGATATTTCTTTTTTTTCTTTCTCAGAGAAACGAAAATAAAAACGAAACATATTATACAACTATTGTGGGTGGCCTAAACAATTTTGATGATGATTAAGAAGAAAATACAAACGAGTGTTCGATGTCCGAGGACAACGCGTTAAAACAAGACAGGCAAAAACACCCCCAACAGTACCGATTGCAACAATATTATCAGATAAAAAAGCATTTCTAGACATAACGCAAATGATCGCTCAACATCATTTGAGAGTCGTACCACCCTCATAAAACGACCGTCAAAAAAATATTAAAATATAAAGAATACGTAGGTGCTTATATTTCGAGAACAGAAGGGCTTTGTAAAAGTATTCGTGATATTATTATCAAAGGTTTTTTAACTTGCTCGGAAACTCTTGTAAATATACCAACAATTGAGCAAAGGCAAACTATCGAGAAAGCTTTTAGTAATGTGATCATTTACATCGGTTTTTTTCATTCCCCAGATAAAAACCTCAACGAACTTCTGACTCAAAGTGTGTTGAAAAATGGTAGAAATGGATTTCAGAAAATGTTTGAATATTGGTACGAAAACTCTGAGAAATACCGAGTTGCCCTGAACGAAATGAATATCACCGAATTGCATGAAGTGGTGGTCATATCTGAACGATGGGATGGATTATGTCGCTTGCAGCATGATATAGTAGAATCCTTGTTGAAAGAGATTAGCAAGGTTATTGCGTATGAATATATGATTTTTGGGCTGGAAAAACAGAAAAATCATTTCCGAGCTCAACTAAACGTCGACCTCATCAATGATGACACGACGAAATTTGAAATAAAACGTGAAGAATTCTTTTGTAACCTTGCGAAGGTGATCACTAAATTAAAAGAAATCGATTCGAAATTTAAAGATGTTCTGCCATCGACATTGGACGTAGATCAGTTAGAAGAAGAGCTGAAAAAGAAGATCGAAAGACTTAGTAATCAACTGATTGGGAAAGCATCAAAAGAAGAACTCTCTTTAAGAGATTCCGATGATTTTCGTATATATTACAATCATTTATTATCATGTGAAAAACACGTACGTTCTCCAGGTGTCGATATTCGACAAGTTTTAGACCTGTCTGAAGAAAACATTTTCGAAAAAGTCGCGTCCTTACGTTGAACAATTACAATTTCTCATTCGACTGTTTCAGAAGTTTCTGAAGCATTAACTAAAATGAAATTTTTTGCTGAAAATCTCTCAATGTTTGAGATGAAAATTAATGCAGAAATAGATGAAGCGTTAAAACTCTATAAAGAAAAGCAAGGTGCTTCGGGCATTATACAGTTGACTATGATCTTAGAAACATCAGAGATAGGTACAAGGTTAGTCAGCGAGCATTCTTGTTTAAGTGGAGAAGATTGGAGAAAACGACGTGAAAAAATGCAAAAACAAGATAATTTAGAATATATTCTAAGCGAATTAGACAGGGATAATATTGCGAAAGACGTATTGATTACACGTTATCACAGTTTTCGACGAACGTATGAACATTGGGTTTCTACTATTCTAAGTTCGTTTAATCAGAAGACTGAGCAAGAACCAGATTTAGACGTGTTGATTACACAAACTAAGCTTCTTACATTACACAACAGTTAAACAAACTCCTAAATCTGTCACCTGGAGTCATTCTTTCAAAGATAAAATTCCAGAATTATTAGCGCATATTTTCGCTGTGTGGACGCTAAAAAATACTCAATACTATAACACGATTCGTGGCATTGTACCAGCACAAGCTTATCTGTTGATGCCACATGCTGCACAAGTTATTGCTATTTTCCGTCTCCTTGGTATTGGTTATGATAGTCGAATAGAATTCAGAGGACATAAGATACCGGTAACAGGAAAAATCTCCAATGATTTAATTAATAATCTGGTAGAGATAGGAACAGGTGAAGGCAAATCAGTGGTGTTAGCAGTAACTGCCTGTGTTTTTGCTCTAACTGGAATAGATGTGAATTACTCATGCTATAGCGAAATTTTGAGTATGCGATATAAGAATGATTTTGCTTTAGTTTTCAGAGCGCTCGGAATAGAAGAACGTATTGAGTATGATACTTTTAATAAATTATGTGAACAGCTATTGAATCAACAATGCAATGCACGAGAAAAAGTGCACGATATAATCGCAAATAATAAAAATGAGCTAGCTGTAGATGAACCGAAAGTACATACACGTCAAAAAGCGCTATTGATCGATGAAGTAGATGTCGTTTTTAAGTGATAAATTTTGCGGTGGGATGTACACGCCTTCAGTGTTTTTAAGAGACTCTTCGATAAAGGCATTGTTGGATGCACCGTGGAAAACTAGGAGAGTACGAAACTTGAGTGCTGTTAAAACCATGTCAGAGTATAAAACTTGTGCAACTAAATACAGTAACTGGATTTGTCTGTTTGACGAAGCTATCAAAGATATGTTGGCTGCTTTACAATCCTTTCAATGCTCGACATATCTTGTATAGAACGATAAGATTGTCTATGTCGAAGGTGAATCGATAGCAGATAATGTAGTCCGGGGCTACGATACCATCTGGGAATATTATCATGAAAGTGAAAACGGTAATATTAGGCAGAGTAGCTTGGAAGCTAATGTAGGTATCATCATAAGCTGTTGTACGTTCTCGTATGCTGAGATGCCTCATAATTTCGCTTATATAGCTGGTGTAACTGGTACTTTGAGAACGCTTGCCAAGTCTGAAAAACAAATACTACGCACAGCACAGTATATGCAGTTCACAAAACGACGTTCATGCCATCAGTATTTGCAAGTACCAATCGTACTTTTAATTCTAGCACTGATGTGCGTGCAGTGAAGGAAACTGAATATTTTATGGAAATTCGCGGCGAAATTGACGTGATATGCAATGCAGATCGCGTGATTCTTGTCTTTTTCGAATCTGAAGAAAAACTAATGGCATTTTATAGCTCCTCTGAACTATCATCTAGCAAAGATGTGGAGATTATCATTGAGAAAGTTTCTGTCAGAGAAAGAGAGTTGTGCATTAAACGTGCAGCAACAGTTGGTAGAGTTACACTATTAACATGAACCTTTGGGAGAGGAACTGACTTTATATGTCGTAACCTACAGCTCCTAGCGAACGGAGGCATTCATGTACTTCAGACGTTCTTTTCCGAAGAATTATCCGAAGAATATCAAATTATGGGAAGAGGAGCGCGACAAGGAGATCGAGGTTCATACAGAATGATTTTATTAGACAAAGATCTAGAATGGGTACTCGGTTCTACTTGGAACGAAGAACTGCCAAAAAAGTACTACACTTTATAATACTTTAAATAAGCCTCGTAACGCACGTTACGAAAGTAAGTGTGATGCCGAAGAACTTGGTATAGAGCAACGCAAGCGTGAGCATAAAACTTCTAAAGATTTTATGACTGTATTGTCCACGGGAAACACGAAAACTGTAGAGAATTTTTTGACCGAGCAAAATCGAGGAGCAAATCCATTGACGAATTCATCGCGTACAGTTTTGCTTATGGATGCTACAGATTCCATGTCAAGTTTGTTATCGGCAGCTAAAGAAACGGTTTGTATAATGTTTGAGCGTGCTTCAGCTGTTTTAGAGGGAAAAGGGCTGTCCGGTGATGCATTTCAGATGCAATTTGCTGTATATCGAAATTATAATTCTAAAGAAAACAAGCTTTTGGAGGTTTCTCCTTGGAATACAAAAGCTAATAATTTAAGAGCATTTATGAACACAATTAGCCCGGAAGGCGGATGGAGTAATGAGGCTACTGAAATAGGCTTATGGCATGCGATCAAAGAAAGTGAACTGCAAGACTCAGTTTCTCAAGTAATTTTAATAGTAGATGCACCAGCAAATACCCAAGAAGAGGTTAATGTGAAACGAGCAGATTTGGTGGAGCATATTGGAAGAACACTAGATTTGATAAGCCAACCTACTATTCAGGTGAGTTGCAAAAGTTAAAAGATAAGAATATTCCTGTTCATGCATCTTACCTTGATGATGGAGCAAAAATAATTTCAAAAAAATTTCGTGTGAGACGCGAGGACGTTGTGAACGGATGAATATTCATTCTTCTCAAGGTGCTGAATTACTGACCAATTTTGTAACAGAAGAAGTTGTTAGAAAAACAGCTGGAGCGCTAGGAGATTCTGCAGTAGAACTATATAGAGCGAAGTATGTGAAGAAGACTTTTACATCGTAAAGACTTTCATCGATTTCTTCCCTTCCTCTCATTTTCCCCTCCTGATCCTTTCTTATTCATTCGAAGATATATTGTGCTATGCAACACTCACTAAATATGAAAAGAATACGTACCTGAAATCAATATTCCTCATAGTTGCTTACGCATATACTAATGCTTCCTTTTTTTTATTGATGTCCTACGCCAAAACCTCGATGTATTGTAAAAAAAATATGTTCACATTTTGCTTACTTATTTGTTATACTTAATCAAAATATTTGATTTTCTTATTGTCATTTCATTATTTATTAACATCACTTCTATATTTTTTTATATATTTTTGAATACTTTCGAATACTTAAAGATGCTGTATTTTGTCTCCTTTTTATTTTAAATTCGTGCTTTATGAGAAATAAATTGAATTTCAATTTACAGTTTTTAATTAGCCAAATAATCTTAAGATCGCAATACTTGTCATAATGGATTTTCCATCTCATATTGCACACTCATCCCTACAATGCTCATTTCTTTATATAGAGCAAAAGACCAATGATGAATTTCTTTCTTTGAATGACAAAGACACGAAATGCTTAGATGCGACTGTTCTATCTGGCCGAGAAGTTTTTTATTACGATAATAACCGTGCATAGAGAGAGAGCATCCACTCTCCATTGATTCTCGAATCTTGGTTTTCTGCTCAACATCGAGTTCTAGTAGCCAGTGGCGGATTTAAGGAGGTGGTGGCGGGACGATCGTCCCGCTTCGAGAAAGTTTTTTCGTTTTTTTTTTACAGCAGAAATGATCGAAAGACGAGTTCATACTACCTCGAATTATCTTAAGAGAGCGATTTTTGTCTATGATCGCACGCTCCCTTCTAAAATCCTAGATTCACTACTGCAGAGGAACTTCTTGAAATAGTCTATAACTTAAAAAATCTGTTAATTGTCCTAAAGAAATTTTTTTTCTTTTGACAAAACTGGATTAACAGATTGTAAATTAAAGTTGGTGTTGTCTAAAATACTTTTTGCTTCGACTTCGATCGGATAATGAGCAACAATTGCATAGACAAGAATCTGGAAAGAACGGTGTAGTGATAAAACACTTCCCAAAACGGTATTCGGATCATTATCTATCGGATTATCTATCGGATTATCGGATCATCAACTCGATGTCAGAATAAGTAAATAAACCTTCCACTTTTCTTCTTCATTTTTTCATCATTCTTTCATTGAAGACAATGATCAAGGTCACAAGGATAACCGCGTCAATTGTTGATCGAACATCTAAAAACTCATGCCATCAGACGATCTCCAAACAAATTTACTGATACAGCAGAATCTAATATGATTCCAAGTTTGTGTTGTGCTAGTTTCTTATGCTAATATTGTCATTTTAAAGTTTTATTCATTGAATGATGGCGAAGATATTGATGCGAGAATGTATTAGATTTTAGTGATTTAAATCAAACGTTTTCTCTGTTTGGTTTAATCGAAGTCACCGCTTTTAGTCATGAAATAAAAAGTGCAGAATTTGGAATCTATAATTCATAAAAGTTACACGATTTATTCACATTTCTCCTTCCATTTATCGTTATATTTGGCTTTCACAAAGCATTGTGCAGCAGTTTTATCACACATACAAGCTTTGTATTTCTTCGAATCTCGTTTATTTGTACACATCCAATTTTTGTCGATCCAATACAGAATATCAGCATAACGTTTATCATGAGCTTGGCAACAACAATCGACAGGTGGTTTATCTGTATTTCCCATACCACATCTGTAGTGAAGGGAACAATAGGACTTGAAGAAACACTCGGAAACTTAGCTTACCAACATTCATAATTACTGTAATCCAGCGGATTTCTGCCAGTAAATTCATCGATGTATTGAACAAAGCCAATGATCAAACTAGACTGTCGATTTAAAGGTGAACCAGCACATAATGATAGAAAAACAACGAACAGGATAAGTTTTCACATCATGTTATGTTGTTAGTATCAACGCATCGAATTCTTTTATTGCTTCTTTTTTCCAAAGAAATAAAAAAAAAAAGAAATCTACTTCATAGTACCAACCGTACACTAACGACACCTACTTCATTGTGAGGCGGTATGTAGGTCCGTCACACAGCCATCTCTCTATATGTATGGATGTCCGTCACACAGGCATATCTGAATATGAATGTACGTCACAGAAACAGCCGTTTCACTGTATGCTTGTACGTCCGTCACAGGTGCATACGGACATACAAACATTAAATTTAGTATGACCATAGACTTACAGTCAATGGAATAATTTGTTAGCTTTTAAGTATTAAAACTAATGAGCACGCGTTCCGAAGTGATAAATTGCTGTTGAGCCGAAACTTAGTTTTTCATAGGTAACCGAGTGTGCTAAATCCGAATACTATAATGGTTTGGGCTGCTATGCCTCGAGAAACCAGCCTCTAGAAAGCCACATCTGAAAACCTAGAACCCAGGGACGCTAAAAACTTTTTATGATCTGTCCAGATGCAAGAGCATATCGAAAAGTCTATATAAAAGTACTTTTTCAACTTTTCCGAACGCTTTCGGTGGATTTTTTGCAGGTCAAAACTTCCAACTGTAGAAGAAGCAAAGAACGTTCCTCTTCTGTGCTGGAAGTTTTGACCTGCAAAAAATCCACCGAAAGCTTTCGGAAAAGTTGTTTTATATAGGTTATCCGATATGCTCTTTCATCTGGACAGATCAAAAAAAGTTTTTGGCGTACCTGTGAAAACCTAACTTTCGGCTCAAGAGCAATTTATCGCTTCGGAACGTTTCCTTGACAGCTGAACTTGTTAAGGTTAAACAATTTGAGAATAAAGTTGAAGACAAGCATGTTAGGAGATTTATCAACGCATCAAATGTAAAAGTATGAAGAACAACATGAAAAAGACGAGTTTGACTAATTGTAGTGCCAGTATGTCGTTTGCCTGGTATGAGTTATGCAGATGAAGTTCATGTCAAATAGTGAATTGATTACGAAGGTTATGTTGGTGAAACAAACAATTTTTTCATTAGAAACTACGGTAAGCGCATTTAATGCTAAGCTTGAAAGTCCGAAAGAATCATACTGGCACGATTCATACAGAAACTGTTAGCTCTCTTAATCATAAGAAAGCTAAAGATGAAAAAGACCTGTATCTATTAAAAATACTATGCGCAACACAAACGTTTTTGAAATTATTACTCCTCCAAAAATAACCTTGAAGATAAGTTAAAAGTAGGCTAAAGTCTCCTTGACAATAAACAGACATCTGTTATTTATGAGTTTTGACTGTTTGCGAACGACAACAAAGAAAACCTCATCTTTTTACACAAGACACACTCGTTCTAACAAAGTTTTTCTTTTTGAATCAATAATGACACATGTTAAATTCTCATGTTAACTTTTCATTCTTACTAAAATAGAATAATGGAGTAAAGGAGAATTCATGCATTCTCATGACACATCGTTTTCGATCAGATATTCATATATATGTAGGTAAAATCACAAACTATTGTTTTCAGAGTTGTCGTGACTCTCTAAACTTTGTCGATGTTAAGAAGTTTTTTTATAGGTGAATATTGTTTTACGTTTGAAAGCAGAAATCGTCAAATTCGTTCTTCTTTCGATAAAATATTTTTATTTAACGTTTTTGTAATACACCTTTATAGTTCTCTTATCGGTTATTTTAACAACTTTTGGATGATTTGTGTGTGTGACTCTCTTAGTCTAACTTCGTAAAAGATGTCTAACCGACATTAATACACTGGTTTTTGCAAAAGAGAAACGTTTCATCAATAGATATAAAACAATAAATATGTTTCTGTTATTATCAAATTAATATAAATAAATAAATTGTTTATTTAATAGTTATATAATTGAACAAAAAGACTTCGTTGTGTATAAATAACTATCTTAGTTTTCTTTTTCCTAGACAATGAGATTTCTATTATTGATGTTAAATTCTCATTTTACGTAAGAGAAGTTAGCAGCAGATTTCTATGTTCCCGCCTATTATTTTTATTTACAACTGTGCCAGTTTTTCTGTTGGATGTGCCAGTTAGAACTCGATGAGCTCTATCCAATGACAAAATTAGTTCTCCAAAATATTCTTTCCTTCAGTTTTAAATGAAAAAGGCTACCATTTAAGTGGTCGGTATAATAATTGAAATGATCAGTAAAAAAATTGGAAATAATCGGTATAATAGTTGAAATGATCAGTATTCAAGAAATGGCGTAAGGAAGTAAAAAATGCTTTAAAAAAACTGAAGCGCGTTCATTTTACACGCATTGCAAAATCTTTCACATCACCCGCTACTTTTTGGGCAGCAATTAATCGTATAAGACAGG